TAAATATGCTTCTAATTTATTTTATATATTTTGACTCACAAATTCCACATAACAATTTAATTATGCGATGCATGAAACAAATATATATATATATATATATATATATATCGAAAGGAAAATATAAACATAGTGGGGTTCATGCATCATGGGGAATGTTTTCATGCTTCGTGGACGTTTCAAATATCTTCCTTTATTTTAAGCGTACATGATTAGCAGAAAACGAATAAACCTTTGAATGTGGTGGATGATAGCCTCCTCCTACAATGCGTTAATTCCTCAGCTTCTGGCAAGAGCGTGCTGATAACGTGTTGTAGGCCTATTTGATTGAATGATCTAAGGTTTAGAGAGAGAGAGGGGTTCAACAATATTGAGAGAGAAGAGAGATTGATTTAATTGTGAAGTATATTTGATTCACCCCATTGTGCCTTTATTTATAGTAGTAGGATAGGTAAAAACCTTTCCCTTTAGGATTACAACATTGAATAGGTAATCTACTCCTAATAGGAGTATAAGATACATTCCCAGATTCCTTAGGATTTACACAATCACATCCCTATTCTAAGTATGACTGCAACAATTAGGTATTTATAGAAGTTTTTTTATATTTTTAATTAATTTTTTTATGATTTTTATAATTTTTATAATATAAATTGTTGATGACATCATCTTTGCATCACATAGCCCAGGCCCTCGACCAGTGGATTATTGCATGACTTCTCCATTGGGCTCTCTTTGAGCCCAATTGCCCAATCGAGCTAAAGTGTTTTTGGGAGGAATAAGTGGATTGGGTTGCCTGCAATGCTAGGTGGAGTTGCCCTAACAGATGCTTGAGTTTAGTAGGGACCTTAGTTGACATGATTTGTTTTCATGCAACAACTTGGGGCATATTTGCTTATCATGAAAATGAATGGAGATATGAAGAATCGAGAAGGCGGTATCCTCTCCTCACTGCACCACAACACCTCTTTCTTATATTTTTATTCTTCTTCCTTTTGAACTTAAAATAAAAACACAATGCCCGAGCTAATCCCTTATGATTTATCTTAGCCTAGACTCAATTTTTGGAAGCTTATTTATTATGACCCCAGTTATAAAACTATAACTTTAGCTCCACCATTGAAAAAAAAGTTCAGTGAGCCGAAAACACGGTAGGTACATCAAATGTCATAACACAAATGGTTGAAATTTTTTGTTTTTCAAATATCCAACCACTTGTATTATGATACATTGTATACCAGACTATGTCCCAGCAAACTAAAAAATATCTCTCACAACTGACAATGTGCATTAACAATTTGGGTAATGCTAGGGGGACCAAATTTGTAGACAAAATGGAAACTAAAGGACATGGAAGTTGATGATTGGTTTATTACTTGAGCGTTGATAAACGTGTTCATTCTTACTGTCGACACATCATTTAATTTGCAAATTTGGTCTCCCTAGCATTACCCTAAGAATTTCCGTTCTTGTGGGCCATTCTTTAGTAGCTCAATTAAAAGCGTGAAAGAGTTTCTTCAAACACCTTCCATCACCTTGCATCTTAACTAATGTGTTAGGTTAATTAATAAACTAAATCAAAATGTGTTACACTATTAACTACATTCTATTTGATGCATTTTCACTGTTTCTGTTTCAATCGAATATGAATTATGCTTTCTCAATTCATCTCAATTACACTAACAAAAATGTACGCTAATAAGTGAATTATAAGCTGAGGCAATAGATGACCAACAAAACCAAAATTTCCACAAGCAAGTGGAAATGTATTGGCTTCACTTGGTCATGTTTAGTCGTGGAATTATGGTAATCGGACCTTCAATTTGGTTCGAGATCAAATGTACTTTAAGGAAATATACAAACTACTCTGTCAAATTTGTAAATATTTCTCCAAATTTTGTTGCGAGAGAGACTGGTAAATGTTGTGTTATGAGTGAAACTCCAATACCAACTTGGAAGGATGTTGGATATTCCAACATCATAAATATTAAGGCACAAATCTTGTTTTATGGGTCATGTCGTGCTATTATTTATATGGGATTAGATTGTACCATGCTTTTTTTAAATAAGTCTTGCTTCGTGTCGGGCTTAGGGCAACTTGCCCGATTAGTGACACGACCCCTAAATGTGCTAGAGTTGTGGGCTGTGTTATACTTTTGTGGTATTCTTCTTCACTTATGTTGGGGGATTCTTAGGTCGAGATGGACTTGAGCTTTGAGAATGTCCTCTTGTCTCCCTTGGTTCAGTTTTGTACGAAGTCCCGGAATATCTTGAAAGGGTTAGCTTGTCTTAGGAAATATTTCGGTTAGATCAATGACTCGAAGATAGCATGATTAAGCAAATAATGGCTTTCTCAAGTGAGGCATGGTGTGAAAGCTAGAAGTTCATCAGTTTAGCATGTTGAGAGAGAGAGAGAGAGAGTTGGCATGGTTGCATGGTGTTTTTTGGTAGATAATATGGGTAGAGAGAGAGAGAGAGAGAGAGTTGGCATGGTGTTTTCAGGTAGATAATATGGGTTTCCTAGGGTGATAACAAGGTTTAAGATGGCTGGGATTTTTAGTGGAATGCTGTGGGAAATACTAAGGTTGCATAAGGATATTTTTGGGCTAATGGGGTTCTCTAGATATGTTTCTTGGGTGGTGCTTCTTGGTTTTGTCTCTATTCTCCCTCATTCTGCTTAATGGCTCATCCCTTCCTTTTGTAAGTGAAGGTTTTTTCTCTAGGCTTCAAATGGATCTCCTTTTCTAGCTTAGTCTTCCCCTTCCTTTCTCCTTAGCTCTCCTACTAGTTTCCTTTTGGTGTAAGTTAGCTATACTATTGAAACTTGCATTATGCTTCTTCCAGAGGCGTGGCTTTCCCAGGCCAGCATTCCGCAAATGTTACTTCAGGTAGTACGCCTCATGACTTTCGCACTTTGGTTCTCTGTGCAAGCTAGGAAGGGAAAGTCTGCATCAAATGCCTAACTTGATGGGCTTAGAGTGAATTTAATGATGGAATCTAATTTAGTCCTAACTAAGAGGGTTGGCTTGCTAGAGAAAGAGGCAAACTAGGCTAGTTTTCTCTCAAACCTACCCACGTGGAATACAAAGGTTTTGGGCTTGGACTTTTGAGTTCCCAAGTAGCCCAAAGTCTTCCACAATCTTGACTCAACGTAGGCCCAATAAACTTCCGTAACCATCCACACCACGATTCACTTGACAAGCCCCCGCCATGTGACTTAGGCTTATCTCAACATGAATAGTGACTAGCATGATAAATAGTAGGGCTGGAAAAAAATCCCAAAAATCCCAAACCAAACCGAAAAAATCCCGATCCCAAACCAAAAAAATCCCAAACCAAAATTCCCGAAATTTTCGGTATGTAATCCCGAACCAAACCGAAATTTTCGGTATGGGATTCGGTATTCCATCTCCATTTTTTCGGTATTCCCATACCGAATTGAAATAAATATGATTAATCTTTTGTTTGTTTCTATATTCCAGTTGTCTCAACTAATGTGATTAATCTTTGGATATTAGTTTAAGTTCATCAGAAAAGTTTGATTATATATATCAGTATACATATATTATACTAGTACCTTAATATTGTGCATGCATATTGTTAATTGATAAACTAGTACATTAATAAAACTAATTAATATAACTGATGTGGTGTAATTCACTATAGGGAGGTTAATAAAGGGTATACTGATAGTTATAATTGATGCACCTTAATATTTGATGTAGTTTAAGTTCTAACTAGTACTAATAGTTAGTGATATGAAAAGTTTGTATTTGAATTATTCATTATTTATTAGTTGTAAACAATTTAATTTCCTCTTTTATTTTCTTAGTATTTATTATCTATTAGACTATAATTCAATGTAAATGATTTGTGGTTTATTGTTTTAGGCACGGCTAATTTGGGAGGTGAGGAGAATACAACACAAGAAAATGAAATGCCACCTCCACCTCCTCGACCACTCCAAGTTGAAGTTCAACAACGTCAAAATCAATCACTACCTCCACGACCACCCATTGCAAGGGGAAGGGCTCAACCATCAACATCAAGGGGAAGAGTACAATTACCAACAAGAAGGGAGCAACCACAAGCATCAACAAGATCAAGGGGACGAAGGGGCCGAAGAGGCCAACAATATTTATAGACTTTAAGCTTTGCTTTTTAGCTTTTGGTTTGTAACTTAATTATTGAAACTTTGGCTCATAACTAATTTTTTTGATTTTGGGTTTGTTACTTTATTTATAAACCTTGGCTTGTAACTACTATTTTTGCTTTTGAGTTTGTTACTTTATTTATTACTTTATAATATGTCAAATTTTAGCCCAAAAACATAATATGTCAAATTTTAGTCCAAAAGCCCAAAAGCATTTTGGGATTCCCGATTTGTCCCGAAATCCCGAAATTATTTCGGGATTCCCGAAAATTGGGATTCCTGAAAATTTGGTTTGGGATTGAGATTGAATTTGGGATTCCCAAAAATTTCGGTTTGGGAATCGGGACAATGGTTTCGGTATGGGATCCCATACCGAACCACCCCTAATAAATAGGCATGCGCTCTTTGGTCTAATTACCGTAGCATGACATGTTTGTAAATATATTTCTTCCCTGATTCCGCACCTTTGCATGTATTTGGGCTTTAATAGAGGATTGCATGACAATTGGGTTTCAAGGCTTGATTGGACTTGCGTGTGATATTTATGGGCCTCAACAGCTTGGAAGTGAGATAACTTAGATTCGATTATCGTCAAAGGAGAATTTGAACCACATTATTACTATCTCATTCCCCTCCTATTTAGTGTAAAAAATATGGTTTGTTTAGAAGAAAAGAAATGTGATAGATCAATCCGTCCCACTTATTAAGTTGGTTAGCCCAACACTCGTGCTTAAAATGGGTACGGCTGGGTTGGGCCGGTCCGTTTAACACATCTACATGCAATGACTGCAGCATAAAAACGACACCGTTTTACAAAGTGTGGCCCCACCTTCCCTGATGCCAGTCCGACCTGACGATGTCGTTTTTTCGTTTGTTTTGATACTCCACCGACCCAATACTCGAGCGCTGTCGTTCAACCGGCAACAAAGCAAAGCTGCGGAGCAATCTCTGTAAGGAAGACGACGAAGAACTCCGAAGGTAGAACCGAACCCTTTCGATTTTATTTGTATTAGTTGTTATTTTTCTGTTTGGTTGCCGAGAAAATGGTGGCCAACGGTTTCTAATTGATCGAGAAAGAGAGGAAAAATTGTGTGGGGGAAAAATCTTAGTTACTATTTTCTAGTTTTGGTATGTATTGTATTGTTAGAACATATTTACATATATGGAAGTTTGATGTATTTTTCATTCTGTTTGATTGCATGATGTATATGTTTTTATTTTTCAAGTTGGGTCTGTTTGTTGCCATTATTGGTAGGGTTTTATATTATTCCAATTGGAGGCAAAAGATGTTTGAATTTAGGTTGTTAATCCGAATTGCGGACTTTAGTTCGCAATTCTTATCTTCTTTATGATGATGTATCTTCTTCTGGTGTTGTTCGATTCGTCGTTATTTCTCGGGACAAGGAATTTTAGTTTGTGCATTTATGTAGTGGAAGTTCAAAACAATGCAGCTATTATGGAGTGATTATTTCGTTTTGTGTTGTTTTTCGATGATATTGAGTTGCTAAGACTAATGGCAAGTAGCATTCAGAACTACTTCATATTAAAGGGTTTTGTATCTCCCCCAGTAGGTTATAGCTCTCTTGAGAGCAGAGATCTGAAGGCGTGAGTTCATGTGTGCGTGGGCGCGTGTAAGAATTGCTATTGAAAAGAAAGTTTCTTATAAGAAATCAAATGTTTTTGACATCGATGGATTCTATTGTTGTTGTGCACCAATTAAGCTACCTCATATCTTCTAATTTTGTACTGCGCTCAAAGTGTCGGAATTTGATTCTTTTTGTTGTTGATAACCAGTTTAAGTTCAGAAATGTGCATTGTTTTGTTTATATGCTTATTTGGTACACAGCACCTAAGTTCTCAGATTTCTGAAATCAAATGTCACAAGGGAAAAAGTGGGGATGTTTCAAAATGGTTATTCGTTTTTGGTAATACTTCGCTGTTATCTTGCATTCATCCCCCCTTTTAAATGTTTGAATTTTCTTGTGAATGGTATGCATTTAAGTTTGTCATTTCTAGTTGTTCTGATATATTCTTACAGAAAAATTAATTCTTTCTATTTTCAGTTAAGTTTTGGACCCTCGTCCAAACACACTGAAAAGATGGGAACATGGGGACTCGAAGGCATCTTTTCTGTTTATCAAATTGCCATCGCAATGCCTCGTTGTTATCAAAATCTTGGTTTAAAAGGACCCTCTAGCGGAGTGGAAGTAGAAGGGAGTTTATTCAGAGCATTGGTGAGCGGAAACATCAATCGAAGATAAGAATTTGGAAGAGCCAATTCCTGAAGGATGGGAGTTGAAGGATGAAGGCTCCAAAACCTCGGTAATTAAACACCTGATTCCCAGGTTCTCATTTACGCTGCTGATTATCTTATTCGGTTTTAGATCTGAATTTTTTACCAGTAATAAGAATCAATATCTCTATTACCTGCACTAGTTCCTTTACAGTTGCAATAGGTCTCATTTTTGGTAGTGGGTTGATAGCTGATGTAATTCAACTGTTGCACAATAGATCTATGAACTCCTAGTAGTTGAAATCTAATTTAATTTTCTATTTAACCAAAAGTGCATTTGCTTTTTTACTGAACAAAAATCTCGTTTATATCTCTGATATTCTTGTTGTGATTTAGCATAGAATTTCATCTTCATAAGATTAGTAAATTTGGAAGTGAATTTTGTATTTGGTGTTAGATTGACTTAGCTAATTGGTTTAAATCTTACTGCACAATACTTTTATGCGTTAATTAAAACATGCATGTTGGATTGCTTCTTGAATGTTTGATGGCGCTGTATTTGGTTGGTTTTTCTTTGATGGAAGTCTTGCCGTTGTGCACTAGTATCACTCTTCAAAGTTGTGGAGTTTCAAGTAACGTATCCTTAGTCATATGGCGCTAGGCTTCTAAGCCATCAATTTTTTACAGGTTATTATACAAAATGGTCCCTGAGATTTGCATGATCAATAGAAATGGTCCTTGAGATTGAAAATCAATAGAAATGGTCCTTGAGATTGTCCACCATCCATGATTTATATCCTTCCGTTAAAAACGATTTTGGGCAATTTTCAAAGCTTTGTAACTCAATCGTTTCTTAACCAAATTCGACCCATAATATATCAAAATGAAGATAGGAAAGTGTAGAATAAGATTATACCTATTTGGAAGCCCAATGGTTGTCGGAGATGGTCGGAAAATAGCCTGAAAGGTGACTGATCTGCGGGAAAACTGGAAAACTTGCCGGAAACTGGGTAAACTTTAAACGTTCATAACTTCTTTAATACTCAACCAAATTGAGTGATTCAAAAACGAAAATAATGCTTCTTGATGAGACAAAGAGAATGGTACCTTTTTCAAAGGTTAACTCACCGTGGTTTGGTCGGACAACGGCTTGAAAGTGGCTAACGATTTTCGAGTTAGCAACTTTCGAGCAGTTTTCTGGCCAGACCACGGCGAGTTAGTAGTAAAGAAAGATACCATTCTCTTTGTCTCGTCGAGAAGTATGATTTTTGTTTTTAAACACTCTATTTGGTTAAGTATTGAAGAAGTTATGAATGTTTAAAGTTCACCCAGTTTCCGGCGAGTTTTCTAGTTTTTCCGCTGATCAGTCACCTTTCAGGCTATTTTCCGGCCATCTCTGGCAACCGTTGGGCTTCCAAATAGGTATAATCTTATTCTACACTTTCCTATCTTCATTTTGATATATTATGGGTCAAATTTGGTTAAGAAACGCTTGAGTTACAAAGCTTTGAAAATTGTCCAAAGAGTTTTTAACGGAATGACCAAAATTATGGATGGTGGACAATCTCAGGGACCATTTCTATTGATTTTCAATCTCAGGGACCATTTCTATTGATCATGCAAATCTCAAGGACCATTTCTATTGATTTTCAATCTCAGGGACCATTTCTATTGATCATGCAAATCTCAAGGACCATTTTGTATAATAACCCATTTTTCACAGTTTGAACAGAAGCTTTATGTTACTGTTTTATATAAATATCACAAGATCTTTTATCCATGTTGAAGGGAGTCTTTAGTCAGGCATTTTCCATAACTGCGCATAATTGTTTTGATATTTCTTTCTGCGTCATCTTGTGTCCTTGTGCTTGTGAATAGATGAACATTTATTTAGCTTGCGGCCCATTTCTTAACATTGATGTTACAAATAAATATTGTTAGTCAAGGTATTTGGGTTATCTTTACCGGTTTATGTAGTCAGTAATTGATGTGGCATAGTTAGCCTTTCCACACCAGATGAAATGGCAGTAGACAATGTTCTGCGTTCTTGGCTTAAAATATAAAAGTTATTTTGCTTAGAATGGCATGCTATTTTTCTTCATGTTTGTACCTCCCTGGTGTTTCAACTGGTTTCAGAACTGAGTGATTGCTTGTTTTAATGTTTGGATGTTATAGCACTACTTGTGCCCTACAACTGGTCAGCATTTTTCAACATATGAAGATCTTTTGAGATATGCGAAGGAAAACAAGCTTTCAATATATGTGCCGGTGAGTTTTATCATTGTTGCTTTGCAAATAAACATTTAGTCTTCTTTGTTCATATTTTCACGTTTTCATATATTGTAATGATTGCTACCTTGAGAATCTTCATTGTACTGTTCATAATATATCTGTGGGACTTGATGGGCTTGCTTTTCTTTTGTTACTTACGGGAACCTTCCTCCAATTGTACCGCATGAAATTATGTAGAAGCCCTATACTGTCGGACATCGACTTAGTCATATATCCTCTTATAGGGTTTTAAGATCAACAAACTAAAGAGGAAACGTAAGAGGATGAGGAACAAACCTAGCTCTGCAGCTAGAGGGAACTCTGGCGGTCAGAGCTCAAGGCCACCACCTCTGAATCCGGGTAAATTTCTGAACTACACAATGTTTGAAACCTCCTCTCTCTGTAGTATGTTGAAGGAAATTGTTTAACTTTAATAGGATTGAACTGCAAGGACCCTTTAATTTTTTCCTAAGTTTTGCACGTATCGTCAAAGTTGTCTTGCTCTTGCACTCAAACTTGAAGATATGTATTAGTTAAAGAGCATGTGATAACATTAAAAAAATAAATGCTTTCGCTTGTACATTACTCATTACATTGGTGTCTTTTAATTTCTACGGAAAATAAAATATTTTATCTAGAATGCATTGTTGCTGGACCATTAGTTCGCATAGTAGTGTATCGCGTTTTTTCCTCATGATTTGTTAATTGCACCTTCTCCTCCAGGTAAAGAAAGCAATGGTTTAGAGGAAACTGCCGACCCTATGGAAAGCAATGATACCGGGGAGGACACCGAAGTTGGTGAGGCTGGGAAGAGCATTGAAGCTGGTGACCTTGAAGCATCAGAAGCTATGAAAGAATAAGCCTCTGAGGCTATCCATTCGTGTCTCCAAGGTGCGGAGTATTGGCTTTTCTGTTGATTGTCGGATTGCTATTTTCTCTGGTCTCTTCAGAATAATGCATTTTCCAGTTTGGTTAATCCTGAGTTTACTTTGGTTTGGTATTTTGATTTGAGTCTTGTATGCATTACAGCATGAGAGGTCGACTAGGCCGTTAAAAAAACGAATAAAATGGACAGATTGTTTCAATCTGATTCGATCCAAAGTGCTTTTGGATTAGCATTCAAACTAGTTTATGTTATCACATTAGGGTATTAAAGTATGATCCAAAATGTGTGACAACTTATTTGTTCAGAATTTTGTGCTGTGCTGAGTAAGAGTGTCCGATTGAAAATGAAAGATAAAATTCAAAAGCAATCAAACAACGAAACTAAAAACAATCGAAATCAAAACCAACTTGACGGATGATTTCAGTCCTTCAAACAAGTTGAGGCACATAAATATGTAGGTTTAAACACTGACACACACCAAAAAACATAAACCTCCAAGATCACTGAAGCTTCTCTTTCCTCATTCGATACAGCCCTACTCCTCCCCATAAGACGATTGTTTCCATCCGCCATAGCTCTCCTCAGATTCACCATACCCTCCAGAAGGAAAGTCGTTGCTTCTCTGTAACCAAGAATACAGTGAAGTAAAACACACTCCAGAGTCTGAAAAAAGTAAACGCGAATGCAGAAACGAAACAAATAGACGAAATGAGCAGACTGAGCAGTAGTAATACCTCAGGCTCAGGAGTGAATGTGAGTCCGATTTTGATCTCTCCGCAAAATTCTTTGTCCTTGTTGACAACATTGTATGCAGCGGGAGGAAGGCTTCCTTCACTGAACACTGGCTCCAAACAAACGCTGCATATACGCCACACATACGTTAACCAGACTCAGCCAGCACCAGACAGAACAGGGTGCAAACTTCTTTCGAGTGACGGTATACAAAATAAAGGATGAAAAAAAAGGAAACACTCACGTTGCTTCTCCGACAAAATCATCCGCGCTGAAGTTATCCTTCTCCATGATTTTCAACTGAAGTTCGGAAATGTTTCATTCCATTCTGGTGCAGATCCTTGCCCTGCAGCATGCACAAGCTTTTAATAACTCAATCTTTACTAGCAAGGAATGCGCTGAAAAGGTGACGAAGAATAGAACTTTACCTGAGGCCACAGTGCTTTGCTTCTCTTGGGTCTTTACATGTTAAAAGGACATAGGGATCCATGTCAGCTGCTCATCATAAAGCTTCAACCCATGAGTACATACATAACAACCAGGTTCAGAAATTCAATGCAGACGGATTCAAAACATTCAAAATTGCGTACAAAAATCTCGATCCAACTTAAGACAGTTAACCAGCTTTAACCGGATTCATGTCTACTGATATGGAAATTGGCTAGCTAGAAGAGCACTCGTAAACAACCCCAAGGATGATACAAACCATGTTTTTGTTATGCTAACAATTGATGAATTATAGGACAAGTAAATCCAAATCACCCACATGTCAAAGAGGAAGGTAAATCAAGTAGACATAAATATTACTGACGAGAAAGAAAAACAGTGAAAAATAGATAGATCTTTTCTGCTTCACTTTAAAATTACGATGGATCTAAGAAAATGGATTAAGAACTTTCAGTAATTCTTTGTTTTTTGTGGTACTGCATCAAAGATTTAACAAATATACATATACATATACATATATATATATATATGTACATATTCACACACACACACACACACACTGATACACACACATGTATATATATAGGCGCACACAATGAGAACATGATCCAGAAACTTTCAGTAAGTCTTTCTTTTGTGTTACCGCATCAAAGATTTAACAAATATACATATACCGATATACACACACATATGGAAAAATCAGGCAAAAGCATTCATCCAGAAGTGCAAAACTGGGAAAAAGTAGAGATCCACAGATGCATCAGAAAGCAACCCAGAAATTATTTTCTCATATATATGTGTTTCTACAGATACATACAGAAAAGTGATCAGCATAAACTAAAGTGGAAGATGGAAGATTCAGGATATATAGCATGTAGAAATATATGAATAAAAATATTACACAAACATTGACAGAGTGGGGAGAGATAATAATTACCCATAAAGTCATTGTTGTCGAGGCCCTTGGCATCGACGAGAAGAACTTGAAGCGTTCCGAGAGGCATGTGTTTGGATCGGAGAAAGTTGAAATCCACAGAAAGAGAGAAGAGGGAGTAGAAGGTCTACGCGTTTTATTGCAGGTTTCTAATCTGCAAGAACTTTAGGAAGAAATCTTTGGCCTGTTGTCACCTGTCAGCTATTTAAATCTGTTTGCCAATTTGCCGAGCCTCTATGGATCTGATTGGGAGTTGACTTTGTTCACTTGGTTCGGTTTCTCGTACCACATTATTATACGACAATCTCGTACCATATTATTATACCAGAATCTTATATTACCCTATGTACAGCTAAGTTGGACATGCCACGTTACTTGACTAGCATACTTCAATTTCCAAATAGGTTTTATTGACGAGAAATTATGTTCATATCTCTTATTTTTGTATTTTATTGATTGAAACTTATTTCTTTTTTAATATTTTACCAATGTTCTTTTACTTTTATCCACATCGTTATTTCCATAATAAAATAACTACATTCAACATACAAATTTTATAATTAAAATACTTAACCATTTCCAAATAGATCCACCCAGCATTAGAAACAGTACATTTAATATATTTATATTTATAACTAAATTTTGTATCATATATTTCTATTTTAACGGCTTTTTCTATTAGTACTCTACATAATGTTGAATGTACCTTACAATAAAATTTAATATTAAATGAATTATATATCCTACTATGCAATGACACATTTGACCTTATAAGGTTTTTAAAAAAAAAAAAAATTCTAAATACACCTCAAATGCCTTTTAACGTATTACTTATTTTCTTCAACCCTCAAAACTTCTCTCACCTTTCATTGTTGAATAAAATCCTAATTAATGAAACTACACACACTTCCTAACCAATAAAACAACAAACATGTTGATTGAGAAAATTTATTTTGACGAATGAAACACGATATCGATGTTTCAAAAACTTCTCATGAGGTAAGACTTCATATTTTCATTGCTTTAGTGGATTTTTTTTATTTAAGCTTGTTTTTGCTTCCCATATACCTGCGTTATTTAAGCTATGAGCATATATTATTTAAGCTTCTCTAATGTACGTGCAAATATTTATGGGTTATGATAACCCTGCGTTATTTAAGCCTGCCTTTAGCATGTTTCATAGGAGGCTTTTCTTTTGCTTCCCTTCTTTTGTCACCATTTTACGATGCTCCACTCCTCGGTGGACTGCCATTGCTGGACTGTGAAGTGGTCTTCCTTTGACTCTGGGATGGCCATTACTTCAAGACTACAGAAATAATATTATGTCTGCTATAAATAGGTAACAGTGAAGAGAGATAATATTTGCTAGAGATAAAAATGAAATGGATGCAATGTATCATACTGTTTATTTTCGTAATTGTATCACACAAATGATGTAGGTAAAGAGAGGGGAGGGATATTGATATTATTACTTTTACTCTTGATCTTATGTGTTGTAATGAGGTTACACACTATTTGGACGCAAAATGCACATACTTTTATATATAGGCGTATAGATCCGACACAACCCTACATGCATGAAGGAAAATCACCACCCTAGGACTTTTCACCTAAGACTTTTAAAGGTTGCCACCAAAGTCTAATTTTGTTTGCTTCCTCATTTAATTACATATGTAGCATTACTAATTTACTAAGTTTCACAACATTCCCCTTGGATGCCCACATATCAACATCATTTGCCTCATTAAACCTTGCTAGGAAAAACCCAGTGGGAAAAAACCATAGTGAAGGAAAAAGAGTACAACTTTGCTTGGATAATTGATATATTGTTAAGTATGTTTATGTTGCCTCGTTAAAACCTAGATAGGAGAAATCCAATGGGAAAAATCCTAGTCAAAAGAAAAAAAGTACAGCATGCATGTGTCCTAGATGTTTCCCCTGATGTGTATCTCCCTATGATTATGCATTCTTCAATTTGACTGATTGGTAAGCCGGCGTAATTCGATATCATACTCTGGCTTATGAAATGTACACAACGGATTTGTCTGACTTCAATAACCTTAGCCTTATGAAGCTTATGTGCACTGAAAAACTTTGGAGATATGTGTTTAGTCTTATCGCCCTTGATGAATCTGACCTTTATTTGGACAACAGCGTCTGTCTTTGAAGGTGGACAACGTGAATTCCAGATGTGATGGATCATTGATCTTAACTAAGAACATTCACAACTGGTTTCATGTAGAGCAAGTATTTTCAAGCGATTGGAAGATGTAGCAACTAATGTTTGCTTTGTTGAATGACATTAAATTGTTGTATTTTTATACGTGAACACATATCCAATTTGTGAGTGGGCTTTATGAGGATCAAGGAGAAAACCAGCATCTGTATATCTAACAAGATTCTAGTCGTTTGTGGGTTTCTTAAAGTAGAGGAGGCCCATGTCTGTTGTCCGACGAAGGTATCATAAAAAATCTTTAACTCCCTTCCAATGTCAAATTGTTGGAACAGAGCTATACCTTACTAAACAAGTTGAATGATAAAACTATATTTGGTCTAGTACATTGTGCTAAATACAATAAAGCACCTATTGCAATAAGATATAGTACTTCTGGACCAAGAACCATCTGATCATCTTTTTTTGGGCGAAATAAATCTTTCTTAATGTCAAGAGACCGAACAACCATTGGCGTGCTAAGTGAAAAGCCTAGTCCATGCCAAATTGCTTTAGGACCTTTTCAATGTAAGTTGATTGATGAACCAAATTTCCATTAGCACAATGCTCGATCTGCAGGCCGAGACAATATCTTGTTTTCCCAAGTTCTTTCATTTCAAATTTGCTTTTCAAATATTCAATAGTCTTGTGAGCTCTTCAGGAGTTCCCACTAAGTTCATTGGTGAGCTTTGTAGGAGGTCCAACTAAGTTCATGCCATCGATATATATTGCCATTATAACAAATCCATAATTTGACTTCTTAATAAACAGACAAGGACAATGACATTATTTGTATATCCTTCCTTTATCAAATGATCATTGAGACAATTATACCACATTCGTCCAGATTATTTTAGCCTATAATGATCGCCTTAATTTGATTGAGAGCATACCTCGTGGTTTGTTAGTCGTTTCAAGCAACTTAAGTCCTTCGAGGACTTTCGTATAGATATCAATATCTAATTCTCCATATAGATATGCGGTGATAACATCTATAAGCTGCATATCAAGTTTTTCTAAAACCACCAAACTTATTAAATAACGGAATATAATTGCATCCATTACAAGAGAGTATGTCTCATCATAATCAATTCTAAACTTTTGCAACAAGTTATGCTTTATATCTTGGAATCCTGTTTTTTTCTCATTGCACTTTCTTGTGAGCACCCATTTGTAACCTACAAGGTTCACGCCGGATGGGGTTTGGACTACTGATCCAAAACACTTCACTTTTACAAGGAATTTAATTATGCCTAGATTGCATCTTTATACTTAGGTCAATCTTGTCTTTGTTTGCATCATCAATAGAGTGGGGCTCAATATCATCGCTTAATATGATTTCAATGGCTATTGCGAATGCAAACATGTCATTAATGATTATTTCATTTCGATCCCACAATTCATTTTTACATGTATATCTTATGGAGATTTCTTTGCTTTCATGTACTTTTATCTATTTAGGGACGTGTGTCTCATCAAGGACATTTTCTTTTTTTGGAAGTACAAATTCATGAATTGTGGATTCGTCATTCATTTCCTTTTCATGAATGATTTCATTTAGATTCAGGTGTGCCTTATCTTCCTCTTTCAAGAAGCTAAATCTTTTGAACCTGGGGGTTTACCATGCTTTAGGCGTGCACCGAATGAATCATTTGCTACCACTTTGTTTTGTCCAATAGGGACATCGATTCTTGCAGGCACATTTGCAGTTGGTATATGTGATTTTATCACTTTCATTGCATCATTAAATGCATCTAACATTTGATTAGCAATACTTTGAAGATGAATGATTTTTCCCACTTCATTTTCACATTGAGTGCTTCGTGGATCGAAATGAGAAAAGGTGGGTACATCCTATGTGCTTGAACTGCTGATGCGGAAAAAAAGCAGGGGGGAAGGGAAAAAGGTGTTGGGTAAGGGTACCTCCTATGTGCTTGAACTGTGCTTGAAATATAATTATCAAGAAGTCTTTGAAAAGCTACATTTTGATTAAGTAGACAAGAGGCAAGCATGTGGCCATCAGGTAGGTGCATCAACCAAAACCATAAAATATCGCAATGGTCCACAAGGTGGTGGATAGGCCACCAAATATCCCCTTGAATTCTTTGAAAAAATGATGGAGATTCAACATCAATCTTTGATTGTGATAACCTAATTACCAACTTCCATTGAGAACAAGCCTTGCAACGATTATCATTGACATAGCAATATGTCTACTTAATAATAGATGCCCATTAGAGTTGTAATGATCCTACGGATCATGATGGATCCTAGATGACCTAGACGGTCATGCCAAAGCATGTAAATTTTTGGATCAATAAACTTCTAGTTCATGACAGTATGTACTTCAATTGTCTTTATTATGTAAATACAATCCGCTCGATAAACCACACAAATTCTCCAATGTATGCTTCTGGGTATCATTGGAGGTAATACATTCCACGTTATATGTACTTTTCATTTCAATGTGGTATCCATTTAAAAGTATATATTGAAAACTCAACAAATTTCTTATAGATCGAGTAGCGTATAATGCATTTTGTGTATTCCATTTTCATTTGGCAACATGACTTGGGCTTTCCTTAAGCCTTCAATTACATCTGATTAGCCTGATTATATTGTTAGCTTTACTTTTGTTAGCATCAAGCTTGAGAAATATTTTCGATCTCAAAGTATTGTATTCGTGGTTGAATAGTTTGCAAGACAAATATCTCCACCATTGTTCTTGTTTTGAGAACCATAATTTTTATCCGTGCTTTCTGAGTAAGACAATCAGAGTTAAAAATAATTTATTCATAATAAAAAGAAATTGCAATACCACTCTTTATTGAATTGAAATACAAGCTTTAAACGACAAGTTCAGATAATGAAGCAATGGTACATTAAACATGAAAATGATTTATCGGACCAATATACTTCATTCTCCCTTTCCGCAACAAAATCTAAAACATCCAGATGGGTTATGTTCAATTGACCTATTAAGTCAAATATTGGATCAAATATATCCATTGAATAAGCCTAATCAATGAAATTAGTTTC